CTTAATTATATGAAATAGAAAGTATAAAATTCATAGCTTTCAAGGTTTAAGGTAGTTACGAGTTTGATAGAATCCTTTAAGATTGGAAAGATGTTCTCTAGATGAATCTACCCTTCAAACCCAGATGTGGGTTTGCTTAAGTATTTAGTAATAAACAAGGTCTTAGTCCAGTTGCTTTTTCAGATTAGGTTTCCAGCTGGCAAATGCCTTAGTTCTTTGGAACTAAGTATTTTCCGGTATGACTTTACTTTCAGAGTTAACTGGATTTGCATCAGGGGAATATAATACTGTTTTATAGGGGAAGAGTGCCTTAAGCTGATTATTGAATCAGTTTTGTTTTTAAAGTATTTTTTCTCTTACTTGTTTAGCTGTCAGGAAAACTAGGAGAAGATGGAACTAAAAATCCCAGTGAAAAGCCTTCCCAGCAAAAAAGCACAGCTTTTAGCTCTGATGTAAGTATATCTGGGCATTGACTACTCAAAAATTGGACTTAAGGGACATAATTCTATTATGTGGGCTTTTATTTTTGTTGGAATACTCATTGTTTTTGTGGTGGTAATTCGGGGTCTACTAAGCCACTTTAGATAGAATAAACCTTTCATAATTTTTTTACTATTCTTAGAAGTGACTGGTATATATTGGCTTTTTCTATTATATATGATACATTTTTGATACCAGTATTTACTTTTCCATATTTCTTCTGTACTTGCTGAACTATTTTAAAACCACATTTCAGAAAACCCTGTAATCAAATATTTTAAAATCAGCTAAGTGCTTAAAACTGAAAACTCTGTCAATGCCTTATTTTGCAATATACTTTGCATATAGATCTTGATTTTTCCTAGTAGTTTTTAAAGTAGGTTAACAGTTGGGATCATGTGGGGTCCATTTTTTGCATTTGGTTGGTGTCTCAAGTTTTTGTTTTTAATGGGATTGCTTAGTGTATTTTGTGAACAAGTATTTTGGATACAATGTATGTGTTTGTATAGCTGACTTAAGAATTTCTTCTATTACAGAATTCTGTAGCAAAGCCAATGCTTCAGAAATCTACTAAAGCTGCTGCTGAAGAGAACTCTTCAGGATCCCCCAAAATAGATAAGAAGAAAAGTCCATATGGACTGTGGTTACCTGTCTAAAAAAAGAAAACTAATGTATAAGGTTGGCTGAAATGCACTTTATTGCAAGTGTGTGTTCTAGCATTATTCCATCTCTGGGAGTCATTTAGTGGTAATTGTTGGAATTACAATGACACAGAAATACATAAATCCTTAATATTTAAATATTAACATTTTAGATTTCTCTTATAGATAAAGAGAAAACACACGGACCAGAGGATTCATACAGGTGGGAGTCTTGTACATATACTTGTAAATGCTTTGTAGAATACCAGTTATGTAAGAGCAAAATTTGTAAGAACAGTAATTGATTATATTTGTTAATAAATTTTTTATTTTTTAAATTTGTGTCACTTTATTATATATGTATATATTACATTATGAGTCTTTATTTTAAAGAAGCATAAAGTGTTTCTTGTTTAAAACTTTGCTAATCCCAAATCCAGATCCATGGAGTGATGGCAGTAGGGTTCACTGATCTTCTGGAGTCAGAAATGCTAAATCTCAAAGTCTCCACCCCAGAGCTGAATCTTAATATCCCTAGTTATGTGGGTCTTCATTTGAATTTCAGAAGTTACGCCTAAAGTTTATGGAATTCTGGCATAGTGTTATCCTGGACAACTTAAACTACTAGCTTCGGGGTAGGAAACTCAGCCAAAGAGGTAGAAATGGAATGCCTCCTTGAATTCTAAAATTTGTGATGTTTAACTGCATTTCTTTATTATGCTTTTTTTTTTTTTTTGGGAAGTATGTTTTTCTTTCTGTTTTGCCATCAATTTGGGTAGTCTCTTAAATTTAGGAAATAATGAAATAGATTTTTAATAGGGATGATATGGTAGAGAACAGGATAAGCAGAATTTTAAGAGACAACAACTCAAGGAAAGAAAAATAATTTGAATAGATGAGCAGGTAGAAGTCATGAATTCTTAAAATAGAAGGGACAGTAACAAAGGTTCTCAAGTGGGACTTAGTTTGCTGTTAACTAAAGCTGTACTATCTAATATTTTACCTGTACTTTCCAGTAATCTAGCCACTGTGATTACATTCAGTTTCTCAGTCATACTAGCCACTTCTGAAGTGTTAAGGCTAGTGGCTGTGTTACTGGAAAGTATAGATAATAGAATATTTCTGTCCTAAAACATTGTATGGGAGAGAGCTGCTCTAATAAAATTTGACCTTACGAAAAACTTAAAAGGACAATGAATGGGAAATTCTGTAAGGTTTGCTGCTCTGGGTGAACATGTCCATTTTACATCTAGGTTAACAGTAGTTAACCAGGAGGGGGCCATGACATGCTCCTAAGGGTACGGAAGTTTATGCAGTAGGTTCATTTTTTTTTTTTCTAAGGAGACCTGAGAACATTGGCAGGCTGGTGTGATTGCAGCCAAATCCAGTAAAAGGTGAGGATTTGATTTGTAACTGAAAATGAGGCTAATAGGAACACCTTGTTAGTATCTTTAGTATTCTTAGCAAAGTTGTTGCTGAGGATTTCCTTCTGAGGGAGACTTTGGAAAAGAATGAAGTGATAATCTTTTTCACCTTCATTTTTTTTTTTTTTTTTTTTAACCAGCAGGCAGAGGTGGGTGGGTGGGAGAGAGGAAGGGAAACAGGCTCCCTGCTGAGCAGAGAGCCTGATGCTGGGCTTGATCCCAGGACCCTGGGATCATGACCTGAGCCAAAGGCAGAGGCTTTAACCCACTGAGCCACCCAGGCGCCCCTTTCACCTTCATTTTGCTGGTAATAGCATTTTCTGTGATTATGACCTGTATTTGAATATTAGCCCTTAATTAACAGCTAAGTGACTGGACAAGTCCTCTAACTCTAACCCAACTTCTTCATCATATACGAAGGGTCTGGCTTATTACTGTTTCTGATACTTTGCAGTGATTTTTCTCAACATTCTTCACCATTAGCTTCTCCTTCAGTTTATTAGCACACTTGGGGCTTCACTATTTCATTTCTTAGTCTGTTGGATCGTTTTATCTAGTGTCCTGAAAAGAGTATGGTTTATACATACATATTTTTTACCCCCATAATTGCCCCATCAAGTACTAACAGCGTCCTTGTTTAAGTTCACTTTGTCTTTTCGCTGGGTCTGTGATAGTCTGTCCTGGGCTTTGTAACATAGAAGATAAACGTACTGCGTGTGTATACCCAGACTGGCTGTCATTACGTAAGTGGGATACAGTTGCCCAGGTGTGATACCGTGATGCTGTGTAAGTTGTGGACAGTACAGCAAGGTGGTGCTGAAGGTGAGAAAGTGTACCAAAAGACTAGATCTCTGCTGTCTGGTGAAAATGAGGGAACCACAGTGAAAAAGGTAAAAGAATTAAAAAGGTTGTTTTACTCTAGTATATCTGAAGTGTCATCTCAAAAGAATTAATGGCATTTTGGGGCGCCTGGGTGGCTCAGTGGGTTAAGCCACTGCCTTCGGCTCAGGTCGTGATCTCGGGGTCCTGGGATCGAGTCCCACATCGGGCTCTCTGCTCGGCAGGAAGCCTGCTTCCCTCTCTCTCTCTGCCTGCCTCTCCGTCTACTTGTGATCTCTCTCTGTCAAATAAATAAATAATATCTTTAAAAAAAAAAAGAATTAGTGGCATTTTAACTTTTTTTGTACTAGGTATTGTGATGAGCATATGTATATCTTACACTTAAAGCACCTGTTTGTTCTAGCCACTTTCCAAGTCATATGGTGGCCACCATTTTGGAAAGCACATCTAGATTGATTCAGGTGTTAAACCCTTTGCTTTTTTTTCTTAAAGTGTGAACTAGAGGAACCATATTTAACTCACCATAGCATGCTGTCCTTTCATTTTCTTTGCTGAAAACCTCTATTACGCTTATCTAGTAAAATAAAACTTGGTCTTAATGAGTGCTTTCCACTGTCTAGAGAGTCCTTCAAAATTTTCTTTGACTTAGGGACTTACATGCACTTATTTCCTTTGCCCTCCTCCACTTTCTACACTGGCTCTTTGTCCCTTGCCCACTGTTAGGATTGTATCCTTGGCTTGCTGCTCTCTACAAGCTCTCTGGCATGCTGCCTTTAACTGCTACCATCTACTAATTGGAAATGAGTTTCCCGAGTTTTCCAGTGCCTACTCCCCAGCTCTTCAAAACGAACCTTTCCTATACTGAGCTTATTAAAATATTGCCTATTTGACCATCCACTTAGTCAACTTCAGAGTAATCCTCAAATCAGACTACAGTTGAAGCAGCAGTGGCTTTGGGGGAGTGTTTTTCTCCTCTGGAGAAATCTGTTTATTTTTTAAACAATTTTATTGATTTGAGAGAGCACGAGCCAGGTGTTAGGGGTAGAGGCAGAGGGAAAAGCAGACTCTTCCCCACTGGGAGTCTGATGCAAGACTCAATCCCAGGACCCCAAAATGATAACCTGAGCCAAAGGCAGATGCTTAACCGACTGAGGCACCCTGGTGTCCCTTGAATTATTTTTAAGGGAGTTACACATTTGTTCTTTTTAAAGATTTTGTCAGCGAGAGCGTGTGTGCAAGCAAGGGGAGAGGCAGGCTCCCACTGAGAAGGGAGCCTGATGCTGGGCTCAATCCCAGGACCCTGGGATCATGACCTGAGGTGAAGGCAGCTGCTTAACAGACTGGGCCCCCTGGGGGGCCTACCCTTGAATTAATTTTATTTTTTTTTATTTTTTTATTTTTTTTTAAAGATTTTTATTTATTTATTTGACAGAGAGATCACAAGCAGGCAGAGAGGCAGGCAGAGAGGCAGGCAGAGAGAGAGGAGGAAGCAGGCTCCCTGCTGAGCAGAGAGCCCGATGTGGGGCTCGATCCCAGGACTCTAAGATCATGACCTGAGCCGAAGGCAGCGGCTTAACCCACTGAGCCACCCAGGCGCCCCTTGAATTAATTTTAAAAGGAAGTCAAACTTCTGTTTCCATTCCACAGAGGCAGTCATACATGGTATGAAGTACATTCTGGATTTTTTGTAATGCCTTACACAAACTGCTTGGGTATGAGCATCTTTTCATGTTAGTACATATAGATCTACCTCATTCTACATGTGAATGTACAACATTAAAAGTTTCCTTATTCATAGTACATTGAATCATTAATAGCACATTACCATCTTAATCAGTCCATCATTCACTAAATGAGAGCTATTGGTGTGCCCAACTTAACGGATACCAGTCCTACTCTTTTTTCATATAAAATGGCACAAATAACCTTTACTTTTATGAGATACTCCTGACTTTCAGGTTTTTGCCCTATATTTCCCATAACTACTACTCAAACTACATGCCCTCATTTCTCAGTTACAGTTGAAATGAGGTTAAAATTTCAATTAGGTTTTTAAAAAAAAAGTTTGTATTATGTAAGTTTTAATAATACTTTGACCAAATGTTTTAATTTACTTTCTTCCGAGGGAAATTTGCTTTTAAAAATGGTGTATATACAAAATGTCATTAGAGGATCAGTTTTCCTACTTTCTGTGCTTGCCCCATAAATGTACCTGGGCCCTGGGCTAGAGCATGGGATAGGCTAGCACCTGTTAATTGTGACTACTTCTGGAGAGGGTGGGCCAGGGGGAATTTCCAGTAGCCAATATCCCCTTCCTTTCACCACCCACCATAGCTTACAAGAAAAATTAGTCCCAGTTTAGCATTCTGTGAAGCTCCCAAGTTCAACTCTAGTTCAAGGCAAACGTGACAAATGTAAGGATGATGATGACATATGTTTGTAGCTAGTAGTGTTAAGCCCAGTAGGGTACACACATGAAGTGCACACACTGAACAAAAATACAGAACGTTTTGTCTCTGAAATGAGTGAATAATAAATATATAAGCATGAAAATACATAGTCATAAAACACTTAACAATTTAAAAAAGGAAAGGTAATAGTCCTGGTTTAGTTAGAATTTGGCAGTCGAAAGAGTTCCCAAAGGAGATTAGACTGCTGTTCCCCTCTCTAAATTCTGTTTAATTTCAGCTGTATATTTCCCATAGAACCTTTCTGCCTTCTTGTTGAATTTGGCATTCCTTTCATTAATGTAGTCAATATCTGCATCATCATTATAAGGACGTCTCCGACTATACTTGTCTCGTTTTTCAATTCTGGAAGAAAGAAAAGAAAATTGACAATATTCAAAATAGCCTTCTTTTTTTGATCTTAATAAAACATGCCCAAATAATTAACTAAGAGTAGAATCAGTAATGGAAACAGATTTACAGAATTCCAAGCTGCTTTCTTTTTTGGTCTTAAGACTGAAAGCAGTATCTTTAGGAAAAAATTCTATGAAGAAATAACTTCACTGAATTTATAAGTTAGTAGTACAGTCAGATGATCTAGTCTTAGGAACACAAGTTCATGTTGAAATACAAAGGCAGTGACATTAAATTACTTCAAGAGAATTTATATACTGCTGGTTCTGCCTAATAATTACCCTATTCAAAACACAAATGTACAAATGACAGTGATGGGACACTCTTCAAACTAGTAATTGAGGTGTTCCTTAATTTCTACCCTTCGCTACACGTGAAGACCACAAAGCTAATTTTGTCATGAGGCATTAATCAGTACTAAAACTTAAGGTTCCATGATAGTACTTACTGCTTTTCCAAGTCTATGACCATCCTATCAATTTCCTCTGTGGAGGGCACATGGGTTCCATGAAGAAGACTGCTGGATGTTGGGTAGAACTCCTCTCCACTGAGAAAGAGCAAGGTGTAAATAACACCATGAAGATTCTATACCATCAGAACTGGACAATGTTTAATGGTCAAAAATGGAAACAATTGGGATCATATTTGATTACAAAGAAATAGAAATCAGACCTGAAAAAAGGTACTTAAATCATCTACTCTAGTGCCCATGTGAGGGACCAGCTGAGGACCAGAGGCTTATGGACTCACCTAACAAGCTGCACAGAGAGAGCTTGAACTGTGTGCTCCGAACAATTTAGAGCTTTCTCTGCTACACTCTCCCTATCAAAACAGTTGTTATCTTAAGCACACTACTGGTCTTAGGGAAAGAGCAAGTGCAGCTTAGCACTGCTTACCGCTCCTGGGCAAAGTAGTTATCTCCACAGGTAAGGGACAGAGTAGGAGCAGCTGTAACCACAATGATGATACTGCATACAGTGCTGTGTGCCAAACAGTATATACACTGTGCAAATGAATTCATTTAACACTCCCCACACCCTGTGAGGTGAGCACTGTTACTCCGTGTATACAGATGAGGAAACGGAGGAAAATTGTGTGACCCATCTGATAAGTGGTGGAGCCAGAACCCAAGGCCAGGAAGTAAAGCTCCAGAATCAGCGCTCTTAAATTCAAGTCCTTCCAGGTAACATACTAAGAATATACCATTAAATCTCTTACTGTTTTTCTCTCAGTCTTTCATAAGTTTCCATGTTAGGTTTGATCTGCTTGGTCAGCCGATGATACTGGCGTAACTGGGCGGCAGCATAATCTAAAAGGAGAATCCAGATTTTTCAGATGTTGGGGCATTATTAACCTATTAAGAGGCCCATTCAATAAAGTAAAAGCCACTTTTACCTGAGAATCCCAGGTCAGGGTTTTTCCTCCTCTTCTTCCTCTCCCATCTTTCTGCATCTTCTGCACTGATCTCCAGCAGCTTCACTTTCTCATAGTCCTCCCCTCTTGCCGCACATTCCTAAAAAGAGGGAAAAAGATAATTAGTTTTACTCCCTTATATAATTCTTCAACCCCTTTAAAATCAAGAGAAGCCTAATGACTGTTATCAAAACTGTTTAAGTTGATTAGCTTGAAAACTGTGTAATTTTCTGTAATCTGTAAGACATAATACATCTAGGGTCACCTGGGTGGCTCGGCTGGGTGTCTGGTCGTGATCCAGAGCCCCGGGATCAAGCCCCACATCAGGTTCCCTGCTCATCAGGAAGTCTGTATCTCCCTCTGCCCCTCTCCCTGCTTGTGCTCTCTCTCTCCCTCTCTCAAATAAATAAAATCTTAAAAAGAAAAAAAATCACCAGAGCTTCATTTCTTATTAAAAAACAAAGACCAAAAAAAAAAAAAAAAAATCTCTGTAACACTGACACCCACAACAGCCGTGGTGGACACATTAGGTGTCCATTAAAATTCTTTCCCCCCTCCTTCCCCAGCTCATGGCTCCCCATTTCCCGGTCTCCCCTGCAGTTCAATCAGGCCAGGTGACTTGGGCTGCTCAAAGGGGAGCTAATACATGGGAGACTCATGAGCTTTATAGTTTCTTTTTTTTTTTTAAAGATTTTATTTATTTGACAGAGACAGTACAAGCAGGGAGAGCAGCAGGGAGAGGGAGAAGCAGTTCTGCTAAGCGGAGCCGGATGTGAGGCTTGTCCTGGGATCGTGACCTGAGATGAAGGCAGACACTTAAACGACTGAGCCATCCAGGCGCCCCTATAGTTTCTTATTGTTGGACCTTCTGTTACTGTAGCTTAGGCTTTTACACTGATAGCCATTGCTCGTGCCACTGTATGTGCCAGGCACTGCTGTTAAGTGTTTTACACATTTTATTCTCACAACTGTCTCAGATGCAGCTGAGACCAGACCTGGAGGGCTCACCCACTGTGCCATATGTTGCCTGGACGAAGCACAGGAGAATCCTACAATCCACAGACTGTGAGGATGGTGGACTTGTACTTACTTTTTTCTTTTCTTCTTCCTGCAGCTCCCATTCCAGACGAGCTTTTTTAGCCTCCCAGTTTGCGGGTAATTTAAGTCTTTTATCTTCCTCCACAACTTCCTGGTGGTTTAACTTTCGAGCTTCATTCTACCACCAAAACACACAAAGTTTGTCAGCACAAGTATGGAAACAAATCTAAATAGACATTACCTGTCTTCTTGTATGGCAGGCATCCAAAGCAGACCTTTGCATTTTATCCTGAATGGCAGAGAGCCACTAGAGAATTTTACATGTGTATTTGTGTTGGGGGAATTTATGGAGGGGGAGATGAGGAAGTCAACACCTATTCCTATATCTTTAAATATCCTTTTACTACTTTCAAGGAACCAGGTGGTAGGGATGCAAAGAGCTACGGTTTGGAAGGAAGAAGGCCTGAGGGATATACAGACTTGACTACTCTCTGGCTGTGTGATGTAAGCAAGTCTTGTAGGATTGGATTGAAACAGGGTTTCCCACAGTGTGAGTTCCACTGTAGGGAGGGACTTGAGAGGATTTTAGATGCTACTGAATGACACCAAGTCACATACTGAGAAGGTGATTCCATTTTCATGTCTCTTTTACTTCGAATTGGGTCCAAGACAAACTCTCATCAACTAATGGGTTTAAAGCGTCTGAAAACACCTTTCCTAACACCTCCTCTTAAAAACAAACAGGGTGGGAGACTCCATCAGAATGCAACCCACAAAATCCAGACTGTGGGAAGCTACAGAAAACAACAGTCCTTTTTTCCAAACTAATGAAACAAGATGACCTCCTCAAACAAATAAAAACCCAAAACAAATAAAACACAAAAAACTAAAACACACACACACACACACACACACACACACACACACACAAAACCCCAGAAGCAGAAATGATGAAAAGAGAACCTATAGAGACATAAAAATGTAAAATTCCCATCTTAAATAGTAATATTACATTTAAATAGCAACCTAAACACTGAGCAAGTGGGCAGGTGGTCACATGTATAAGCTGTGAATGTGATGGGAAACTCCAATCTAATGTTTATGAAATTGGGAAAGTTTTTAGATTACAGAATTAGTGGCAGAGTTAGGACAAGACCAAATTTCCTGATTTCTGCCTATTTTTTTCCCAATCTATGAATATTTTAATATCTCCTTTTTAAAAAAGATTTTATTTTTAAATAATCTCTACACCCAATGTGGGGCTTGATCGCAACCCGAGATCAAGTGTTGCATGCTCCACTGACTGAGCCAGCCAGGCACCCTTTTGATCTCTCTTTAACAATACCACCATCACACTCCCAAAATAATGAATTCTCATCCTATAATGTTCACATTTTCCTGATGGTCTCAAGGGTTCATTATTTTTACAGTTTGAATTCAGACAAGTTCCATATATTGCGACTAGTCAATACATCTCTTAAGGTTTATTTAATCTGTAGTCTCCTTCTCCATCTTTTTTACCCCCTGCTCTTTTGAGGACTGTGAAAATGATCAGGCTGACTGTCCCATTTCCCAAAGTGCTAGCTGCCTCCCTATGATGTCCTTTAACAGGCTCCGCTGACCGCTGTATTTCTTGTAAATTGGTCATTAGATCTAGTGGTTCCATTCAGTTCAGATATTATCTAAAAAGTCTACTTATATGAAGCTAGTGTTATATACTTCTATCAGGAGACACATAATCTCTGATTTTCTCCCTTTTTGTGATGTTTGCAGTAACTGATCACCTAGAACCAGTGATCCATTAAAGATTACAAAAGCTTGATGTTTGAATTATGTTTTCTTCACATAACATCCAGCCTATCCTTTACACAGTATTACAAATTAAGTATGTGTGTCTGATGAGTTTTTAAATTGAGTTTTTCTGGGCAAACACAGATAACTACACTCCTCACACACATCCTGTCTCCCGCTGCTTGCGGGCCTCCCATCCTAAAGAGGACTCTGCCTTTGCACTTGTTCTTACTGCTTGGATACCTCTTCCTCCAACTTCCTTTACTTGTCTGATAATATCCTACTCATGTTTCAAGCAGCTTAGCTGTCCCATTAGTCTTTAGTGGTCTTCTTCTTCTTTGAACTTCTGAGGCACTTTGTTCCTCCCTTTAACACACAATTACCAACTCGTGGAGTAATTACTGTTATGGACCTGCCTCCATAACCAGGCAGGCAGGAGCCTTACCACACCTACCACTGTATCCACACTATCTGGTTGGCTGTGGCTCACTAGGAGCTCTGGGGTGAGGGTGGAGGAGGGCGTTTGGATGAATGAGTGAGTAGCCAACTTGCTGTGTGACAACAGACAAAACCAGTGTCTGAGTCCAGAAACGGATTAAGTGAGACATTCTAGAAGTGAGGCCTAAGCATGAGCATTTTTAAAAAGTTCTCGAGTGGTTCCAGTGTGCCATCAGGGTTGAAACCACCGGGAAAGATCTTTCTTCAGCACTGCGCGTCTGTCAGGCGCGCCTGTGTCACTTGCTCGTCCCTCCACCAACACTCGCGGGCCGCCCAGGTGACAGGTCTTGGATGCCTCGGGGGCTACTCACCCGCTTCAGGTGCAGCTCCCGGAACTTGCGCAGCCTCTGTTCACGCTTCTGGGCGGCCAGATCCACGGCCCCTGCGAGGGGCCGCTCCCCCTCCTCCGCGCTGTCCACCGGCACCTGCCGCGGAGAGGACGGGCTAGAGGCGGGGCGGCCGGGGCCGATTCCCCTCACTGCCGCCGGATCCCACGGTTCGTGCGCCTCCCTCCCTGGCATCGCCTGTAAGTGTGGGCCAAACGTCTAGCCGCGGACACCCTTATCCCCAAGCCCTGGGCAAAGCCCGCCACCCACCTCCCCTGCCTCGTCCTCAGAGGCCATCACCCGGCAGCGCTTCCCCTCAGACTTCCGGCGGCAACGAACAACTTTTCCGACTCTCCCGCTCACTTCCGGCTGCCGGCAGCTACAGGTTTCAGGGGAAAGGCCCGCCCTTTTCTGCTTCGCCCTGGAGACGAGGAACCAATCCCCGCCCGCCGCAGCCCTGGGAGGCATCCGATTGGGCCAGGCTAGTGAGGGGCATTGAGTAGCGACACCTGGGCTGTGCGGTAAAACCGAAGGGACCTGGCGTCAGTGCCATTGGGACTGTAAAGGGGAGGATGAGGGGGAAAAGGGAGTAAACCACCAGATGTGTGAGAAAGCAACCCAAAGCACAGGTTGTGCCCATCAACTAACCGACCTTGTAGTTCAGATTTCTGAATACTAAATACAAAGTAGATTCACAGTTACCATCACGTCGTCCTGTTTTAATCCTGCCTCCAGTTTATGGTCGCCCTGCTCAGCACAGCGTGAGCTCCAAGAGAACAGCTGATGCCTTGTGGCCCGAACGATCCCTAGTGCAGGGTATGAACTAATTTCATACTCTTGAATGGATGAAGGAATAAACCGGTTGGAGATTATTTGGGATCTCGAGCATCTTCGTGATGCAGAAAAATTTCTTGGATTAATTTGAGGCTTTGACTTTTTTCGGAAAATTCTGCAAGAACGGCATTCTTCATCTGTCTACTCATTCAGTAATGACCTGTTCTTATTTATTTACTAATTAGTGTGTTCTCTGGTTCATCATTTATGAAAAAGAAATAATAAAGCAATACCCACGTCAGAGAGTAGTTTGAGGACAAATTAGGTAATATGGGTGAAGTATCTGTGACTAGTACCTGGCCCATAGCAAATGATGAGTAATTGCTTACTTTTGCCAGTTGGCATTAGATGTGCCCCTTTCCTGCCTGAGGTCTTAAATGTCTTTCTTCAGGGAAGCCTTCATCTCCACCCCCTGAAGAGTCAGTTTCCCCTGTTATAGCTCGTCATACTTTCTTCTTTGTTGCATTTACATAAGTGTAATTAAATAAATGTGGAATTGCTTGTTTAATGCCATTGATTTAAAGGAGACAAATTTCTTAACCACTATTAAAGCAGCAACTCTAGGCCTTTATTTTTTCTATATCATGGATGAATTGATGGAGGAATCTTACATGTATTTATATTCTTTAGAAATGTCAGCGACAAAATTATTTTCAGTAAGATCCCATCAGAATTACAGGTTTTACAAAATATTTTTTCAGAGCCCTATAAACTGAAACCAAATAATTAAGGAGAGTTTAATGAAGGGACTGTTTACAAAGTTGTAGACTGGATTAAGAGAAACCAGAAAAAGAAAGTGAAGCATTCCAGGGCTAGGAACAGGGGGAAGCCATTGCTATCCCTAGTCCTAAAGAGGTAAACAAAGGAGAAGTTGGAGAGGGTGTTCAGATAGAAGCTGTGACTACAGAAACCAGCCCATAATCCAGGCATGGAATAAATATCCTGACCTCATTCTTTTCTTCTGTAGGTGCCACTCATTGGAAGGATCCAATGAGAAGAGAGCAATAAACAAGAGAGCTTATTGATGCAGACCATACAGACCAGCACTGGTGAGTGCAGAACAGAGTGGACACTGGTGGAAGGTGGCTCCAAAGGAGCAAATAAAATATCCAGTACAATTCTTTCCGTGGGACATGGTAACAATTTCATAATTTTTTGAAGTCTTAGAAGAGCTCTTTGTTCAAGTAATACTTACATAGATTTAGTAACAAAGAACAGAACAAGTTGTTTGGCCAATTGAATTTTCCAAGATGATTGAAGATCTTTCATCCTATGTGCTATTCTTTTTTTTTTTTTTTAAGATTTTTAAAATTTATTTTAAATTTTAATTAATTTAATTTAGATCACAAGTAAGCAGAGAGGCAGGCAGAGAGAGGGAAGCAGACTCCTTGCTGAGCAGATCCCAGGACCCTGGGATCATGACCTGAGCCGAAGGCAGAGGCTATAACCCACTGAACCACTCAGGGGTCCCCTATGTGCTATTCTTACAATGTGACATTGACACACTTCCCAAGGAGAGGTAAGATCTATATCCCTAATCCTTGAATATGTGACTGCGGAGGAAGTGACGCTACATGACTTCTGAGGCTAAGTCATAAAAGCAGAAACAGATGCCATGTGGTTGTTTTGAGATGCTTGTTTTTTGAACCCAGTTACCATTCTTTGAGGAGGCCCGAGCCAAATGGAGAGGTCATGTAGGACTGAGCATTGGTACAATCCTCAGGAAGGGCAATTTGGCAATATTTATTTAAAAGTTACAAAGACGTTTGCTCTTTGACTCAGCTATTATGCTGTTGGGGTTTATCCTACAGGTACAATTGCACAGGCATATCATGAATTATATATAAGCATTGCTTAGGACATCTATTTATTTTCTCATATGATTTAGTAAAGACATGATAGATTCATTGGGTGAGAATGCACAATATTCTTTTTTGGCTGTCATTTGAAGCTTGTTGGGTACATTTGGTAAAGCCTCTGTACACATCATAACATCTTGGCCAACAGAGGGAACAAAAACAGTGTGATGGAATCTCCTTCATGCTTAGGGAAAGCCAGGGGGCGATGATCTAACCATCCAGGTGGAAATCACGGCCTAAGATCCATGCCACATAACCACTGAGCTCCATTCAGGGCTGCTCAGTAAACACCTGGACAGTGTGATCTATTGGTGCCAAACCAGTCACTTTCCTTCAGTATAACAGAATGCTCACAAAGTTCCAGATATCTATCCACATGTTGGGTGTAATTGGGTTGGTTCTGCTTAGAGTGATTTTGTTGTTGTTCCTAACATAGGGGTCCCTGGGTGTTCCAATGTCCATATCCTGGGGTAAGCCACATAAATCCATCCCAAATCTGGGTATAGCCACCCATGGTTCTGACAGTCATATTTTTAGGATTCTTTTGGTTGATAGGTTGGTGGGCTGCCTGCATAGTTTGGTTAACAGAAAAAGAATACTTAGGTCCTGTGTCATTAATACAGTGCTGTAGGCCAGTCTTCTGGATCAGGTTTACTAATGTCAGATATACTAAGGATACCAGCGTCAACATGTTCTTTCTTTTTTTTTTTTTTTTTTTTTTAAAGATTTTATTTGTTTATTTGACAGAGAGAGATCACAAGT